CTTCGGCGAAATGGCTTCGGCAAAATGTGTTTCGGTGAAATAAACTTCGGCGGCGAAAAGTCAGGATACTATTTATTATAATATGATTTAAGCAAGTTTTTTTTTTCAGAATAACAAATTCAAAATTTACAGATACTTAGCCGAACACATAAGCATAATCAGTGTGCTTTGACTTTATGCATATTTATTTCTCCCAGATTAAAACCATTATTAATTCCTCATAAAAAAGGAAAATTTTCTTTTTAATTTGCGTCGAATAAGTTAACATCCTATACAAATAAACTAATAACTTGGTGATACTGATTTAAATGATTTACGTCAAATGATTTATTTATATATTTAACTCATTGTTGTGATTGGTGATTTCATTAAAAAAGTTTATAGTTTTAGGAGTGTTATAAAAACGTTGGGAAAAATATAAAATACATTTATTAGGAACTATACTAACCAAATTAAAATTAAATTCTTGGTTATATACGACCGACGGAGACCTGCATTGGCATGAGGTTGAACTTTTGGGAAAATTTATAGACCAGGATCTGGGTTTAGGTTGGAACCTCTTTACTTTACCATGTTAAAAACTGAAAAAAGGAAATACGGTCTTACTATATCGCGAGTTTAGGCTGAAGACCTGAAGTACTGTAAAACAATTTGGTTAATAAGACTTTAGAGAATTTTTTTTTCTTCTGACACATTTTTTACTAGTTTTATAGTTTTATACATACAGATTTATGAAAATTAAATTTATTTGTATTAATTAAGAATTTTAGGATAATAATTAAAATAAACGATTTCGAAATTTCCCGATTTCTATATTAAATAGTCTTACAAATGGAAGAAAAAAAAAAATAATCGAAATAAAAAATATTAAATCGAACGTTACTAACGTTAAACCGAAAAAAAAACGAAATAAATATAACAAATATTAATTTTAATTTAATTACGATTTTATGATGTCGAATTTTTACAATCATTAAACAAACGAGAATCATGGACCAAAAAAAGCTTATTAATATCTTAATTTCTTCTTAATTTTTCATGATTGTCATGATTTAAAAAAAAAAAAAAAAAATGACAGTAGTGGGCGCGGAGGTGGTGGATGGAGAAATGGACGTGTTTTTTTCTTGCCTCCCGGCCTAATTGTACTGCACGTTAAAGACTGGAGAGGAAGGATTTGTTTCTCCAATTAATTGGGATTCGGGTTTGATGTTAAGCAGTATAATATTTTAGGATATAAGGAAAGAATGGAATTTTAGATCTTTATTTATAAGTTTTTTGACATTAGAAATACTTTATTAATTAGCTAGCAATGTGATACAATCAGTTACATGACCTGACCTATAAAGGGGAAGATCAGATGCGCGAAAGATTGGATAATTGTATTCTCTGTTCATACTATAATGAATGTAACTGGTCCTAAAGATTAAATAATTGAATTATTAAACGTTTACAGTTAAAATTTCTACGAATGAGATTATTGATAAATAAACATATATTATTGGATATAAAGTTTGCACCGAATAATTTTGATTTACGGTTTGAGGGGTTTGTTTTTTTAAAATAACCACGATAAAGAAAATTCTCACTGAATTGTTACATGTTCTGTGATCAAAACAAATAATTTTTGATTGTTCTATTCATGCAAACAAATGACTGGATTAAAAAGTATACTGTAATGAATGTAACAAAGAATTGGCTGATTAATAATCACCTATTGCTTCGTACAGTAGATTCACGATTCTTTACGTTCTTATTCTATACTTGGAATCATATTATTTTATTGTATTGATTGTATTGAAATAAATAATTTTTTTTTGGATTTTCAGATTTCGTAAGATACAGTAAGCAATATTTGACCAATTATGATTAGGAGTTTGTTTTTCAATATATATATATATATATATATATTTATTTATATCAAAAGCAAATAAATGACGAATAATTAGTTAAATAATGCAAAAAAATAATTATTTAATATTATTAAATGTATATAATTAAATATAAAAGAGTAGAATAATCTTCGTAATTTTTTCTATTCGAATATCAAACGGAAAATTATACCAAAGTAAAAATACATTTTATGATATAACTCCATCAATATTAAAATTAGAAATGCGATTTTACTATCATTAGAATCCTCTCATTGGGAGTATGTAAGATGATGAAATTTTGAAAATACCTCTATAATACACAACTTTTGAAAAATTTTAATATCAAACTCAACCTTATATGTGAGTTGTATTAGTATTGTTAACAATTTTATTGATAATCACAAACCTTCAGGGTTATTCAATATGCAAGTAATAATGGTTAAAAAAGTTCTAAGAATACTATAAATGTTGTAATACATCCAAACAATCTAAGATGCGACTCTAGATAAAAGTCATGTTTAAAACGACAACTAACCTTTTATAGGACAATAAGATTTTTAAATAAATTATCATTTAGAATTTGATACTTGCCAAATAAATAATATATAGAAATCATACGATATATTTCTTGGCATTTTATTTGTAAATTTCGTGTGGCAATTGAATTTTATATTGCATTTATTTATTATGTGTAATATATATATAATCATTTATCGCTCAAACAAAAAATTTTTGAATTATTTTTATTCGATCTATTATAAATTTAATGACGAGCAAGTTATTTTAACTGCAGGTGTCACAGCCTCACAGGTAAGTTTTTTCCAGAAATAACATTTTTAATTCACGAATTCACACGGATTACACGTTTTAGATTATATCACATCAATGGAATGGGTTCAAACTTTGAATTTACAAATAATATATATATGTTTGTATGTATTTTTATTATTTATAGTATGACATTTTTATCAGATGAAGGAAAATATATATAAAAAAAATGTAAGTATTAAATCATCTTATCGACATCTCGAATTCCTCATCTGACATCATGTTTTTAATATGCATGTAGTAGATCAATTTGTATCCCATGTGAAAGTTTTTATTATTTATTCGACAATCATAATATATTAACATAAAAGAAATTTCACGATATTTAAAAAAAATATTTTTGTCGCGATAAGCTTTTTTTTCTGAGATAAAAGAAAGAATAATTTACCTAAATTTTGATTGTTTTTGATTATTAATTTATAAACTACATTTGGGCAAGTCTTCTTAAAAAATTATAATATATATATATATATATTTAAAATAGAAATAATAGAAGAATATTGGTTGACATAACGCCAATATGCATTCATTAGAGTTTCCGAATGTACATATTTTTTTAAATTATTAATAAATTATCATTCGGAATTAGTTAAAAAAAAAAAAAAATTTAAAGAGTTCTCATGCCAATTTTTTTTTTTTTTTTGTGTATGCGAAATAATTTATAAAATTATGCAATATAATCCTGTAATGTTACACATATGTTTGCATCGTAATTTGATTTAAAAATATATAATATTTTTATAATAACAACATAAAAATAAATTTTTGATCCAGAACTTTATTATCATAATACATTGCATATGATATCATTTCAACCAAGCCTATTGTTCTCCTTTGCATATTTGCGTAATTGTTTATAGACGCCTAGGACAAATTTATTTAATCTCTTTACTATATCCTCATTATAAACCAAAAAGGAAATTGGAAGTTTCGGCCCGCATTAGGGTTTTTTTTCCTGCATTATTATGATCTTTACCGGAATTGTAATGGCTTATTTTCAGTATTACAGTATTATATGAAATTAGATCTTTATTATTGACCCGTTCATATTTTGCAGGAGAAACCGTTTCACAATAATCAAATAACTATAGTATTATTTACAGTACGTTGATATACTTGTATCACAAGTATGAAATTTTATTTTATTTTATTTTTACGCGCAACAAAAAGTCACATGCAATTTTCACACCTAATTACTTAGTTATGTATAATTTGCGGAAATTAAAAAGTAGGTTGCGATCCGCAAATTCCGCAAATAGATTTCATACACTATAATTATTTATTTATTTATTCAGAACCGCATAGCGAAGCCATAATTTAAGTTTATTCACATTCGAAACAGAATTTTCGAGTTTTTTTATCTGACTAATCATTTTTCTTTCTATTTTTTTTTTTTACATAATTTTATTATTTCAAAAATTTTACTTTAGCGATTTTTATTTAAAAGACTTCTTACAATTCATAAATTCCTTTTTTTGCAATTAACTATTTTAGACACATTTTGTTGATATCTATGAAGGATTAGAATGATACTTCTAATGTAAAAGCGATAGGTGAGAATGATTATGGGTTTTCTTCGAATTTATTTTTAATGAATTCAGATTAATTTTAATATAATTTTCATTTATATAATTTACATAAATAATTTGTCTCCATAAAAAATATTGTTGATTCGTGTTCTAATATTTTTGAATTTTTTGAATTTAATTTAATATAGGTAAGGAAATTTTGTAGTTTAAAGACGAGAATGAATATTTTGTATGGATTTGCGTATTTGTTATTTTTGAAATTTTTTTTTTTTTTTTCTTTTGTAATTTCGCTAAGAAATTCAAATAAAAAGGGTTCTTACTCCTTAAAAATAGACGTATTAATTGTAATCGACAAATCCAAATAATATATATAATATTACGTAAAATTTGTTTTTGAAAGAAAATTTATATTTTATAATGCTCAATAATTCATCTCCAGTGTTTGTTTACAATTTGAGAACATCATGCTTAATTCACTTAAGTTTTTATGGTCAACATCTATGATTAACCTCGTTAATAGATGGCAGTTTTTTGATATCGTTATAATTAAATTTTTATTTTCAGTTGTATAATCTGTGATTGACGTGAATCAATCTCTAATATTTTCCACCAGATTTTCCAAGGTGTGAAATTTTTTAATATTCAAACACTTTTCCCATTCTTGCCAGTCTATATATCTATTTAATTTATTATTAAGAGTTATTTCTAATATTTTCTCTAAAGACTGAATAAATATAGGCGAAACACATCTGAGTGTTGGTTGTAAAATAATATTTTTTAATGTTGGACCTTTTTCTCTGATCACATTACTTAATAATTTTCAGGTATCTTTCACATTATTAAAATCCAGAAACAAAGACTGCAGATTGTTTTGATTTTTAATAAAGTTAATTAAGGACTTCTTATCTTTATCTTTACAAAAAGATCTTGCGTTTGGATATTCACAAAAGTTTTTTTCGGTTTCCCAAGAAAAATGTTTAACATTTATACATTTACTAAGAATTAATTTATAAATTTCTCCTTCCAAAATTTGTATTTTGTGCTTATAATCCTTAACTTTTACTTTGATTAAAAGATTTGCCATATCTATAATCCAAAATGGCGTGATACGAATGAAAAATTTCATATAATCAAGTGTTGCCATTCTTAGAAATTTATTCAATGGTAATATGATATTATTTTGGGGCAAAGGATCTAAGTAATCCCATTGTTTCTAAGTGTATCAATATCTTTGTTTGATTTAACATTGCTAACTTGCTCAACAGACTCGTCCCCTTTCGTTCGATCATTATAAAGTTTTAAACGTGATTCTGAATTATAGAGGAAAGGAAGCATTTGAAATATATCAGATTCGTGAACTGGAATTGCCACTGATCCTCTGTGTCAAGTGCAGAATCTGTATCGGTAAATAAAAAATATAATAATTAAGATTAATTAATATTTTATTAATAGAAAATAAAAAAAATAAAATAGTTTTATAACTTACTTTACATAATCCATTCATGAATCAAATTGATGAATTAAATATTTACAAAACTTCTGCTTGTACTTGACTTTAAAACTATGAATAATACCCGCATCCATAGGTTGAAGATGAGTTGTTGTATTTGGTGGAAGGTAAACAAGTTCAATATTAGCAAGCTCAGGTGCCTATTTGTTAATAATTTGGTGCAAAAAGTGATGCATTTGTTTCTGGTTGACTGATGGGCTAGAATCGGCCTGCTTAGCTAATACATCTACTTTGTCATTCCACTCATCCCCACTGTGTCCTTTTACTTTATGAAGTTCTAGTTCTAAATTATTCTCCCTAACTACTCTAAAAATTCTATACAATAATAAAAAATTATTTCTATCTAAAACGGTCTTCAATTTGGCATTTAAAATTTCATGTATCGCAGCTGCGCTATCCGTATATATGTGAATTTTCGAACCATTTGAACAGGTGAGCAGAGCTAGTAGAATTGCATATATTTCCGCCTCGTTGAAGTTGTGATTTCGATAAATGCAGCTCCTTGCGCTACCTCATCATGGCTTTGGTTTTGGCGTGCCTCTTGTGGTTAATGCTTTAATCAGGGGATCGTAATAGAACCGCCAAATTAATGGAGATAGACTATCCCCTTGATCTACTCTATCGCCTGCTATGAAAGACGGTGTGGGTCCAAAGGCCGTGAGAATCTGAGCATTTCTATTAGTAAATATCCTAATGACTAAGTCTATTAACCGGTTTGGTAAACTCAGACGTTGGAGTGCTATCTTCAGACCTGTCGGATATGTCTTGAAACATAATCCAAAGCTGCTTATTATTAGTTTTCGCGTCTTCAATTAAAAATTGTTAATAATCTGTATCGGAGTGGATGTGGAGTCGCCCGGAAGCCCACAATAATTTTGTTGGTATAGGATACTGTTATGTTCTGTAAAGATTTTTCCTAGACGCTTTTGTCAAAATTATCCATATTATAGTTAAATTTTTCTGGTTTAAGAATCGGGATAATAGTTGATGATTTCCATTTGGAAGGTATATGACCTGTTATCAGCACCAGATTAAAAGCATCTCTAATTAACCTTTGAAGCTATGTGGGCAATTTCTTAATCATGGTATAGTTAATTCCAGTAACTCCTGCGGCTGATTTTTCGTTTACACTATTCAAAATTGTATCCCATTCCTTGTCATCAATATCGTTGAGCACTTCATTGAAGGCCTGTTCATTCTGAGTCATTGGTTCATAAATTTTTTGCCAAAAAGGTGACATATCATGAATAGATGAGAAACTAATATCTCTTTTCCTAAACTGGTGCGAGTATGTAGATGTTGCGTGTTCCGATATGTCGTCTGGTGAAATCAACAACTCTGTTCCCCAGTGGGGTGTGCTTTAGTAGGCGGTCAATGGGAGTGGATTTACGATTTCTGTTTAACACATTATTAATCCATTTGGATTGTTCGCTCTCAATTTGCTGAATTATAATTAAATAATAAATAATAATAAATTAATTTTTTTATTATATTTTATAATATAAAATTAAAATATTCTTACCTTTTTACGTTCAGCAGTACTAAGTGTTTAATTTGGTTCCATTCAAAAAAAGGCCTGTCTCTTCATATTTAGTTAAAAGTGCACATAAAATATATATATATACGTATACGTTCCTCTGAAAAACTTTTAGCTTTCCCTGAAACGAATTTTTTGAAGACTATTACGTATTTTAAATCTATACACCCAGCCATTAGCACAACTTTAATTGGCTTTCAATATTTAACCTTTGGCAAGTTCTAACCCTTTTTATTGTAACATTCCATCAGTTAAAGGACTCCACTAGCTAAGTTCAAATCTGCATAGCCATATCAAGTTCTGGAAACTAAACAGAACGTTGCCAAAAAGTACGTGCAGTCTGTGAAGTAGAAAGTACTTTGATGATCCTTCCACGTTTTATTAATGGTTAAATTAAAAAGTGAGGCTGATTTACATATTAAAGCTCTAATAATTTTAGAATTTGACTAAAATGGTAATTTTTATAATTTTTCATAATGCGAAATTGAGATAATCAACAAATATTCAGTAAAATTATTTGATTCCTAATTAATAATAATTTTATTTAAAAAACAAATAACAGATTACTATTAAATTTTACTGGGCTTCAAAAGTCCTTGTGAGTTATCTGTTATAGAATTCTCTATGTTTATTGACTTTGAGCAGTTCATAGAATGTCTTTTTTAATGAATATATTTACTTCTTTCTCTACTAATAGATATTTGAATGAATTATAATCAGATTTTATGGAATATTTTATTTTTTTTTAAAAAAAAATAAAATAAAATAAATAATTACCTTTCTTGATAATATAATTAGTTCATTACAATCATCAACCTTGAAGATGATAGTGAAGTTACGATAAATGAAATATTTTTGCTAATATCACACATCTTTTTGCCTTGTTAAACATGGAATTTATCTGTAATTGAACCAGTGGTCTTATTCCACCTTAGGATTTTACATATTATGTGCAAATCCCAATTATTGAGAATCAAACTTAACTAAAATACTTATTATAATTTTATTTTAAATTTAATTACATTAATATATCACTACTTATTCTATTATTCTGAATTCTTAATAATATATCTATTGCCCATTATTTGATCTATTCACAATATTTTATTGTTAATATTTGCCAAATAGTTTTGTAATAGCAGTTCTTTAAGGCATTAAGATTGGCAGATATACAGAGAAGTAAGAGGATCTTAAACAATACTAATACAACTCACATTTGAGTTTGCTAAAGTTTATATTAAAATTTTTCAAAAGTTGCATATTACAGGGCAAAATTTTGTTATCCTACACACCCCCTATTTTTAATATAACTAGTAATTTGATTTTAATAAAATTTATATCATTGAATTCATCTTAATAAGAGGATTCTAATAATGATAGTAAAATCACATTTCTAGCTTCAATATTAATAGAGTATGTCATAAAATGTATTTTTACTTTGGTATGGTGCTGGAAGTCTATACTCGACAATCACGTGATTTTGTTTCAATTTTCTGAGCCGATTCTATATCATGTGATCCGGAATTCAGCCAATAAAAAACCAGAATTTCTTGTGTAAAATACTAATAAAATGCGGTTTTTGAAAATTTTTTTATTACAAACAAGATAAAATATAAGAAAAAGTAGATTTCAGTAGTAAATTGCAACTACCATTTCATAAAAGTTATATATTGATAAAAAAATTTTTTTTTTTAAAAAATTACATTTGATTCATATTATGATAATTCAGGCTGGCATTATCACAATGCATGGAATCGGCCCAAATTATCGTAAGTTCTGGCCAACATATTTTGTTTCAAATTTGGGCTGATCATATGAAAATCATGCAATTTCAAATGCTTATAACTTTTTATGTAGATCTTCTTTTAAAAATGTGACCGGTAATTTGATAGAGCTTACCTCAAAGAATAAAATTATCAGTTTATTTTTTTTAAATTGTATTTTTTTTAAGGAGTTGAAAGATTTTTAAGTGTTACATTTTTATTGTCGAGTATAGACTTCCGGCACCATATTTAAAATAGTTGTATTAGTATTATTTGAAATTTTATATGCAGAATTAATTAGTTCTAATTGATTTTTTTTTAAAAAAAAAAAAGTTTAAAAATTGTAAATAAAGCATCATTATTACAGTCAAACCTTGATATAGCGAACCCTTGATATAGTGAATTTTTCAGACAACTATAATAAATTTCCCCTTGCTATAACGAATTAACCAATCAAATCTCTTAAAATCTTCACTATAGCCCTATAGCGAAGTTGAGGTCTGGAACCTAGGGTTCGTTATAACAAGGGTTGACTGTATAGTATTTTGCATTAATAATTAAATGCTTTATCAAATAAATATCTATATATATAATAGACAGAAATATATACAAAGTTTCATATACAAAAATTTGTGCGAATTTTATATGCTCAAATATAGATTATTAATAATATATGTGACAGTGGTAATTTTTACAAATAAAATTAATTTATTATTAGGCCAAATAAATAAAATTATTCATTTTTCATGACCGGACGAATCATGTAAATGTTATAAAAAAATAAAAAAATTTATTTTATTTAGTCAAGTAATTTTAGTTTTGATCAATTATAATCATAAAAAAATAAATTTTTTTTTCCATCTGGTGACCTAGGCAAAAAATTTATTAAATCAACCAATCATCTTCTAGGAATCGATTAAATTTTTTTTGAAAAATAATTTTTTTTCTGAGTAGCCAGATCAAATTTAGCAATTTTTTTTCATGAGAAACAAATAATTTTATTTCTTTGGCCTTATTTATCAGTATAAATAATTCTTTCTAACAATATTCCCATAACTAGTAAAAAAACTTAAGAATTTTAAGTTTAAAAAATTTTTTCATAATATATCAAAAAGTTTTAACCAAAATTACTTCCTTCAAATATCCCAAAAATTTATAACTTTATTTTAACTGTTGCTAAATATAAGTGATTTATAAGTTATAACCCATTATGAACTTCTTTTTATTCCTATGAAACTCTTGGAAATTATTCCAAAATAAATATTTAATATTATTAGAAATCTCTAATTTATGAATTATGTTAACATGACATTTCAATATAGATTCATAACTAAAAATAAAAAAAAAAAGAATTTTTAAAATTGTTTTTTCTTGAGCAAAAATTTGAAAATTTTTCTAAAATAATTTACTTTCTTTTTAATAAATCCATACAATCAATTCAGCATTGGAAATTAATACCTATCTAAAATAAAATTCAATTAACTTATAATATCCCTTTACTTTTACTATACTATTAGCTGATTCCATTGCAATTGATTAATCAATATCTATTATAATTATAGATGTCTAATCATTCCATATAAAATATAAGTAAATAGTAATAAATAGTAATGATAAAAGAAAATTTGATATAGAATTAGTAAATTACTTTAAATGATCTTATGCATTTATTAATTATAATTTCAGTTTTATGAAAATTCAAATTATTTTTATTGAACCACTTATTTTTCATTTACAGATGATTTCTCAAAGAACAATCTTTAATAAGAATTTTTAAAAAAAATTTCCAGATCATTTATTTATTTAACAATTCTCAGATCAACTGGATGTACATGATCCATTATTTTAAATCTTTATGTATCTTTTAAATTCCAATTATGAACTTCAAGTTTTTAAAAAAAACTTAGATCTTTTTGTCATCATTTTTGCTTTTTCTTAATTTCATTTCATATTCAGTCCTAATTATATTAGTAAGTGTTGGTTAAATTGCAAAAAATATTCTGTGATTTTAGAGAATAAGGTAATTTTAAGTGAATAAAAAAAAAATTTGGAATTTGAAAATAAGTAAATAAAAAATAAATAAACAAACAAATAAAAAAAAAATAGAATAAAAAAAAAATGCATATAGAAGAAGGTTTGACTAAATTCTCTCATATGTACCATTTAGGCTAGCCAATTCATCAAGTTCTTGGTCGGATCTGCTATTTAGTTCTATTTTTTTTTTTGTTTTTTACCAATCCTTATTGTTTACATTTTACTTAACTGACGTAATTCTGCGAATTTGGTATTATTCTCTTTTTTAAGGCGGTCTTTCTTCAATTTTGAATTTTTTAATATTAGACCTTTTTCTCTGATCACATTACTTAATAATGTGCAGGTATCTTTCACATTATTAAAATCCAGAAACAAAAACTACAATAAAATTAATCAAATAAAAAATAAAAAGACACACATAGTTCGTAGAAAGATGAGAAAAACTTTTGGGTGGCTAGTTTATAGAACAGACTGTCTATATTAGAAAAGCCATATTAAGGACTTTTTATCTTTATCTTTACCACAATAACATCTCTAATTTAAGGATATTTTGACAAATTTTGGAAAGGTTGGAAAAATTTTGATTGGTTATGAACTTCCAATTAATTTCAAGTGAATATCTCTGTATTGGCAGATCATCCCACTCTAACTCATAATTAATCTTTCATAAACAAGTTCAATGTCAGAGTTGGCTTTCTAATGAATTTGTCACATGTTGGTGATTGATATACCGTTATACTCTAATCAAGAAGAAGATAATTTGAATAATAAGACTTAAATCATAGTTGGCTTTTTCTGGAATAGCCAGAATATTATTTAATAAATTTAAAGATAATATTTATAACTTAGTTTATATTTTTATTTACCTTAGTATTAATTTTTAGCCAATCAGACTCTTGCTGACAATCAGCTGAAAAACTTTGAAATTTTTCTTCAGTAAAATTCTCAAATTTCTGGCATTCCCTTGTTAGTCAACTTCCACCTACTTTTAAAGCTTTTCACAAGGATGCAAGAATATGTTTTCGCCTATAAAACGTTTGTGAACCTTATCTAATTTTCTAATCAATATTATTGTTGATTAATCTCCCATCATTCCTTTTCGTCTCCCATCACTCCTCTTCATCTTTCCATAACTCCTCTTCATCTTCTCATCGCTCCTTTTCATCTTTTTTGTCTCCCATTACTCCTCTTCATCTTCCCATCAATCCTTTTCATCTCCCATCATTTCTCTTCATCTCCCATCATGTCCTATTTCTCCTTTTTGTTTCCTATCATTACTCTCTTTCAACTTCTATTACTTTCCATTACTCCATTGTTATTTCATTTTTTTATTAGCATCTTTCTCCTTGATCATTGTAATTTACTTATCTTTTTATTTATTGTATCACTTCATTAAAAATACAGTGATTTTTTTCTTTAAAATCATAAATGTGTGACTTAAATTTTAATATTTGCAAATAAAATTTCATTAGATAAGATTATTTTTGCAAAAAAAAATTTTTTTTAAAAAATATCTTTTGCGATAAAATTTTAAGTTTAGCCGATCAACTAAATTAAAAAAATCAGCTGTCAGCCGATCAATAAATTTACTCTATATAAACTTATAATAAACCATCTCTATACTTAATTTACTCATTATAAATAGAAAAAACATCATTTGTTTATTCATTTTATTTAGAAAAAGCTAGATTTATTTATTTTAACGAAGCCTATTTATAAAAGAGAGATCAATAACTTTCTATAAGATCTTTTAAAACCATACCAAGCTCCCTGAATTCTTGTTTGAAATATAATTTCTAACATTTGTGATTATAAATCGGGATCTTCAATATCCCTGCAAAAAAAAAACTTTTCCCACTTCTTTAAAAAATGGATAAAAGCGCGAGAAAATCCTCTCCAAACAGTTGATTTTTGCTCCTAGAACTTCAAGCATTAGTAATTTTCCATGGATTTACGTAAACATTTTGTGAACCGTTCAATGTTAAAACTTTGAAATGGTCGAATGTAATATTTCTTTTAATTACCTTAAAGAGTATAACCTTTGTGAAGAATTCCTTTCTCTATTATCTCAACAACATACTGGAGTCTCTCTTGATATTTTGGAAGGTATTTTTTATTCAAGGAAGAAAAAGATCTATGAGCCTTTAACATATTTACGTTCAGAATTGCCGCCATGTCTTATATATCAGTTGAGTTGAAAAACTCATTTATTTGTTTTTTTTTGAAAAAGAGATGATTTTAATGAGTAATATTGAAATTGAAAACATGGACCTTTCAAATAACGACATTAGTAACTTTCCTATTACTTTCATTAAGCATTGTTATAAAATTCGAGTAAAGGATGATATTGATATTGGAGAATTCAAAATATAAATGGATAATAAACCATATTATATGACAGAGTTTATTGTACATTACGTGATGGTATCACTATTGATGATAGGCACTACGAATTCTTGACTTTCTCTGCTAGTCAATTAAGAGATCATAGTTGTTGGTTTTTTCACCAACTGGCAATTCAACTGCTGATTAAGGTTAGAGATTGGATGGTGAATTTTTCAACAAATAAAAGTGTACATAGCAAAATGTGCCTGAATGGGCCAGTGTTTTCAAGTACTCGTGCTATTCAAAAGCTACCTATTGATGACATCATAGAAATTCCTGATATAGTTAGAAATGGTTTCACTTTGTAGGGAATATCTCTTTCTCATTAGCAAGAAGATTGCTTATGAATTGGATTAAGGGTGTTTTATGTCAGCCAATTTGTGTTGGAAGTTATCAGAGGATCTACATTCATCTCACCATATCTCAATCGTCAGGCGATTAAATTATTGTCCGCATTAGGAATTCCCGATGAAGTATTTATTGAATTAAAAGATTTACGAGTTAGGGAATTGAATAAATGCTTGAAAGGATAAAATGCTTGAAAGTGAACATACGGCGTTGGATTTTTTACAAAGGAATGTTGATGAATATGGAATTTCAATCTCACTTGCTGGTCTTGTTAAAGCGGGATTTTTAAGAAGTAATTATCGTTATTTAATGAATTTTATTTCATTATTTCGTATCATGATGTTAGGAGGAGACATTTAAGAAAAAGGCAAAAATTCGCGTTGATAAAGAGGCATTCTTATTAAGCGTCTTGGATGTTGCCAAAATTTTACGAGAGAATCAAATTTATTGTTAGCGGTAGCGATTTAGATGGTGATGATTTCACGTGTGTATCTTTATTTCTCATTGTTTAAAATTTTAAGTATTTAAGTTGTTTAAGTTATTGACAATTTTTTTTTTTTTTTAGAAAAAAACTTGTTGATCTTGTTAAAGCAGAAATAATGATCATTATTTGATGAATTTTATTTCATTATTTGATGTTAGGAGACATTAAGAAAAGTCAAAAATTCGCGTTGATAAAGGGGCATTCTTATTAGGCGTCTTGGATGTTACCGAAATTTTACAGGAGAATCAAATTTATTGTTATTTAGATGGTGATGATTTCACGTATGTATCTTTATTTCTCATTGTTTAAAACTTTAAAGTTTTAAGTTGTTTAAGTTATTGACAATTTTTTTTTTTAAAAAAAAAAAAAAAAAAAAATTTAATTTAGTGTACTATGAATTATGAGGCTCAAAAATCAAGAATGGTTGGAAATGTAACGATGAAAGATATCAAAACATTTTTCGTAAATTATATCTTTTCCGACAACTTTGGTATGATCAAGAACGCTCATTAGCAAAAGCAGATTTTTTCGAAGTTGGTGCATTACATAGGCAATGTAAACGTCTTGTATAATTACATTCTGATGCCACAGATTTCTAAAACGGGAACGCCACCAGAAATTCCACCTGTACTTCGTGCTAGTAAATTCCCAGATTTTACGGAAAAACTGTTATAGAGTATACCCCGCAAATTAATTTAAATAATTTAAATATAGAAAATTTTGATCAAAGATTATATGTTGATGGATATGAAGAATCTTTGGATGATGTACGAAAGTTAAGACGATAGTACAATGCAAACATAAGAGGACTAATGAATCAATTTGGAATTATGACTGAAATTGAAGTAACTAATGGATACATTATGAATACTATTACAAAGTTGATAAAAAAACCTCAATATCTGTGATGGAAGATGGAACCTTTAATTCCAATTAAGTGACATTATAGAGAATCATTTGAGGTACTCGAAGGGTCTCCACGCCACCAAAGCCTACTTTTTTACATAAATAAGTTTTAAAATTAAAAAAGATGGCACAACCAGAAAGATTAAAGAAAGATACCTATTGGAAAGTAAAAAAAGAGAAATTGATCAGTCGAAAAGGAAATTAAAGAAATAAATGAAATTATGAAATCACAGCTGAAACTATTAGAACTCATCAAGAAATATTACGTGAAAAAAAAACAGGAATCACTGGATGTAATCGAACAAATCGTTTAATTTTAAGTTTAATTTTAAGTTTAATTTTATATAATCGTTCACAAAATATGTTAGCCGGTTTATTGTCCTTCGCTTCGCCCCGGACTATAGATGTTTATGAACCTTAATGACATATTGGATCACGTGGCGAAGTTCATTTGTCCGCACGCGTCATTTCTGATTGGTCCGCACAGAATGTCAGACGCGATTATTACATAACAGATAGTAACTACAGTGTTTAGCGGTAGTAGTTTCCTTTTGTAAGGACTCATCCCACAAACTTGTTGTATGGCTCCCGTCATTCTACATTTTAAAAATAAATAATATAATAAAAGTCTGTTACTAGATGTTCTCTCTGAATAATGTCAGAACACCTTTAGTCAGAAACCATTGCCAGAAATGGGACTTTTTTTTATCTAACTTCTATAAATTCTGTACACCGTCACAAATCTCATTGCGAAACCTATTATTTAGTTGGACGAGAGTATGAAGCAATCCGTTGGCAAGTAAAATAAATTAATTTATTGATGTTTAGCTTTATCTAAATAGTGAGTATACCAAATAATAACATTTTTCCACATGTTCAACGCTAATGATGTGCCAGTTAATGAATTTAGCGAAGAAATAATAATGGCTCCGTAAGTCCAGACCGCGTAAGCCCGGGCGAAAGTGGATGCAAAACAGGAAAGGACGAGGGCGCCGCATGCGTTTTGCTAGCAAACCGTCAATGTCAAAAAAGAAAGTAAGGTTACAAAGAGGCTATTAAACCCTTAAAATCAATTCTAAAGTCGTCCAATAAGTACAACCAAGAAAGTTATGTACGTCAAGAAAAACAACCATCACAGCCTTTGACTGCTCCGATTCCTGATGTACCCGAACCAGAGCCAAAACAGACGATAGCGCTCTGGAATCGCTTTGTTTAAACGAACAAGTATTAAGTCGTGTTATGACTGGCGCTCACCTTAGCATTTGGGCATGGTATCAGTTAAATCTAGTTTTCCAAACTAAATACTCGCCACGATGGATAATTATGCAACAAGAACTTTTTACATCTAATTTAAGGTAATACTTAAATCATAAGAATATTGAAAGGACTCCATTTATTTTTTTAATAGTTTTAAATAATATTTATTAATTTATTAATGTTACTGTAATTATTTAGTAGATAAATGATGTCTGAAAAGGAAAACACAACTACGGGCGGAACATGTTGCAGAGATATTGAACATCTCAGACGACCAAGTGTCTCAAACAAGGGTAGATCAGAACAATTGGAAACTGAATCCGGTCATTTTTCAATTTCAAATCTGCTGTGGAGAGACCTTTTCACGAACCGTCTGAATACTCAACTTCCGAAATATTTGGACCCATATGCAACGGCTATAAACGCGCAGTACAGCCTTGTCACAAGATGGAACTGTGGGCACATCCACCCTGGTTTCTAATTTTAGCGAAGACAATACGCTAAAAAGCATCATTACCAATTTTAATCCCCTCCTGGAAATCAGCTCCGTGGTTCCCTCTTATGTGAAATGCTCTGCGTATTCGTCGAATTAAAGAACCATCTCAAGTTTATTGTGTTCATAATATTCTTTAATCTGTAAATAACAACAAATAAATAATAGTTATTGATGGAGGAGCTATATTGGTCACAGGACCGAATGATTGGGCCATGTAGTTAGCTATTTTTACCAATCAATGAAGATCTTTGTGACCGATATAGCCCCACATCTAATAATGGTTGGACTCGAAATAAACCCCAGTTCAATTATAAGATTTCCAAGTATTACCTGGGAAGAATCATCTTCCAGATCTTTACACTCACAAATGAAAGGCAGGATATCGACAATAACAGGGTATCCATTTTACCAAGACCGTAACTGCAAATTTTTTGATATTTATTTTTTGGCATTATTCTTAATAATATTTGAGTATTTTAAATTAAATCTAATCCACCAATGTTTTATAAATGTAATTTAATTTTCTGTTATATTTTTTAATTTGAAATAAATAATTATTGCTGATTTTTTCAAAGGATAATGAAGTGTTTATAACTTCAAAAGATATCAAAATGTAGCCTTGGGTCTCAGGTTTATTATACAATTTACATAATGTAAATTGAATTTATTTTGGGCGTATAACATGCATTTTATCACGTGAACAGTTTTCCAGTTTTTTTTTCAACACACTGTATATAACTATATATATTATATATTTAAAGATAACATTAATCTTAAACTTTAATAAGTAGTATAGTATTTTTGACGAAATTTTCATTTTTTTTCAAGAGCTATAAACTAAGTGAATTTCTTTCTACTTTCTTTTAAAATGAGTGTAAGACATTTTTTTTAATTAAATAGTACTAGTATTTTTTAGTACTTTCTTTATTTTCTAAATTCTAATATATTATTAATTCAATAAATTTTTCTATATTGTTTGTTGTCAAATTTTTAAGTTTAATCCATGATTAGGAATTTCTTTTCAAAAATTTATCCAAAGAACCATTTAATCACAATATAATGAAAAGTAATTATCATTACTTGAGTCAAAAATTTCTATCTATAATCCTTGACCTGGATTTTGTTTTTCAGCATCTAATGTCATTTTTATCATCTGAGGCTTAATATAGTAGTTTGAAATCAATAATAATAATATTATAGTTGACAAATATTGATTTTAGTTTGCTGTTATTGTAATTCTTTCAATTTAAATTGGATATTCTTTTAATTATTGTGGCTTTTGTAGTCCAACTCAAATCTAATTTGGTTATAATCCTGATTTTAGTTTGTTGTTTTTATAATTTTTTCCATATCAGAATTAAGCCAATTATGAAAAATATTAAAAATGTGATTCATCTCCTTATAATGAATTTTATAAATTTTATAAATGCTTTCTTATCAAATGTCCTTGCTCATGAAATACTTGTTAATTCATTGTTACTATTATTTGTCCTATATATTTCTGTGAGAATGTATAATCTAATGCTGAAAAGTTCTTAATGAAAGAATCCATAAAGTACATTTTCAGACGCGACCTTTTTTTCTTGGAAGAGCTAGCCGTAACTAATCCATTAAGATAAAAAGGATCAAATCTTGATGCATCGCATGAATCTATCTTAATCGACTATGATTGTTTGATTTCTTTTACTTCCTTAAGATATAAATTATGAAACTAATAAAATTAAAACTATATAAACAATTAAGATTTTAAGACATTCATAAAGGAGCAGTGTTGAATTCAATAAGACTTTCAACCAGTTTGTAAACAATATTTATAAAATTTTGAATTAAAATGTTTTACAAATAAGTAGTCTAATATTTCTTTAAGAATATTAGAAAGTGTTTGTAAAATAAAAAGAACGATATCGAAAATTTAATTTCGTAGGTAAACGAGCTCGAAAAATTTAAAGCTTGTTGGGCTGTATATCTTGAGTTCTTGACATGCTCCGGAACGTCGTTAGGTATCTGCAAATCATGTGATAATCTTGGCACATGATGTAATACCGTGACATGATCTCCCATGTATGCATTGTCGAATGATATATTCATTCGTTACATTAGGAACCATAATAATAAATCTTCGCTTCCAATGCGTGATAAATTTTAATGTGTTATGAATAAAAAATCCATCGGTTCGTCTACCCTCAGGAAAATATATCTTCTAGATTTTGATTATAATAAAATATGTCTTCCATGAAAATATATGTATTTCATGAAAATAAATGGAAAAAAGGAGAGAAAGAAAGAAAAGGATACATTTACAACAGCAAATTCTCAATCTATTTATATTAAAATAATAAATTCTTTTGTGTGGACACCCGAAATTTTGCCACGTATGAATAACATTAAAATACCACACAAGCCAAAAATTGCTGTACAATAAAACAAAATCATTAACCCACAGCCACAAAATTAAAAAATTAAATGGGCTTCAAGTAAATATTGACATTTATCAACGTATTAGAAAGAAAATTCAGATTATCGTTATTAACACCTTTTAAATTTGTTATTTATATTGGATCTTCATTATGATTATCGTTATTAACATGCGTTTATTAAGAATTACATTAGAATTATACGTGATCTCGATATAATATATATAGTAAATATGTATAATTATTAAATAGGTTATTAACCTTCAAAAATTTTATTTTTTAAAATTAAAATTCTAGATAATATACGAATATTGAAAACCCATTATTTTTAAAAGAACTTTACGATATTTAGAATCGAAAATTTCCAATTATGTAATTAATGATATTAATTATATTTGAATTTGATTAAAAAATTTGATTCGCTTACGTCTGTTTTGAATACCAATATTTTCTTAGCATATTCTCAGATCGTAAAAAACCAAATTGATTTTTTAAATATTGACGTAAATCATTCCATTCGATTGTTTCGATCTATTGAACGAAATTCAATTGTTTTTCCTCCTCATCTAATGTATGATGATATAATAAGAAAAGAAATTTTTAATTATTTGATTAAAAAAAAGGTTTAATCAAAATTATCTATAAATTACTCACATTCAAGATCGAGATAGTTATGTCAATAATGACAAAATTGATGAGCACTTAATTGAGGAAGAATTTCAGCCATTCTTACGAATGGATCACGAAGATTTCCAATACGTCTCAACTCATCTATACCATTGAAAAGAATATCCTTCTACAAAAAGATATGTGTATAATAAGTTTAAAATACTATTTTAAAGTTTATGTAATCACAACCGTTCTACATATGTAACTTATTACCCCTCCATTGGATAGACGTACTCTCATTTATTTTGATCTATGATTTAACAAATTATTAATAAAGAATTGCTAAGGAAATTAAGTAAATGAATAATATGCATAAAAAAACAAAGAAATTTGATACTTAATAATGAGCCGGAGTCACTAGATAATAAAATTGAAGATCATGGCTTAGTTCCGTTAGTGTCATGTCTATCGCCTGGTAATTGTCAATCATGTGATGATATAGTAGAGATCTTAACACAAGCGTAAAAATATACAGATTCTAAACATCTTAATTACAACCAATAAAACTGCTATCCGTTATCCGTTACATCTTATTATTTTTTTCTTTTTCCTACTTTGGTACTATAACTTATACATTCCTTTATAATGAACATTATTGTTTTATAACTAGCCGTTAGCCCGTTGCTTCGCAACGGTATACAAAAAAGCGTGATGTACAGTAGCTAAGCCGCGCTATGTAAAGGTAACACGGGTAACACAATACAAAGATTAATAGTACATTATTTTAGACGTCAATTTCTGTCATCTCACGTTCAAATAGTTAATTTGATTTGAGGAATTTAGTTGAACATCTTTCAATTCCAAAAAACTTTGATTTGTGAATTTCTATTATAGTATCAAATATTATTTCAAATTATACAAATAATATGATTATTTTTTATCACATTCGCCTCATCCATCATCCGATCTGTCGTACAAATTTGTTTGGATGTTGGATGAATTTTCTACCAATCAGAAACTCAATAATGTACCCGCGCCACTATTTTCTTTTGTCAAGTCTTTATTATTATTTTTAAATTTTATACGTTTTATTCTTTTATTTCTTTATATTTTTATATTTTTTTTTCTTTTATCTTTTATTTCTTTTAATTCTTTATATTTCTACTATTTATGCTTATATTTTGCTTGTATTTTGACCGATATTGTTATTAAGCCTGATCTTAAAATCCTGATTGGGCTTTTTAAACACGCGCTCGGATTTATCGGAAAAGTATATCAAAATCGATTTAAACGAAAATTAACTTGAGTGGTAGACCTAAGGAACTTTTTTTATAAGGTTGATTTATTAAAGATATCCAAATATGTTCATATATCAGTGTGAAAGTTGAGATCATTTTAAATTCTAATTCTTCAGCATTAATAGTAATGGCTATCATACAGTTTTATGTTTAATTTGTATATGAAAAAAAAAATTGGAGCGATCTTACATTAACAAACTTTTTCATTTGTCGTTCTAAATTATTTAATAATATCTATAAATTCTGAACGATCTGAAGCTTCATGTTAAAACGTCGATTATTAAATTAAATTGATTTTTAAGAAATTTTAATATTCTTGCAACCACAACATTTTTGAACCTTTGCTTTATAATTTTCTGTATATTATGTTAAAGCTTGTAAAAATATGAAATATTTAATTTCAGGCTTCTCACTCAACATATCATTTGACTTTAATTTATTAATTCTTTATCAAACAATATTAATAGTGAATGATTTTGATGAAAAGAATGTATTTATTCACAGAATAAAGTTTTTACAAATTTTTTTAAGCTAAAAAATTTATATGAAAAATATTATAACTTCGTGCTCACTATACAGTATGATAGTAATTTATTTCATCAGTCGTTTATATCGTCTTGGCCCTACCAAAATTGAAACCAATCCTAATGCTGCAAATAATAAAATTTTGATGTCCAAGTCATTTTTATTTGTGTAATTATTTTACCTCCATTATTTATATTTGTTTATGATTAATTTCCCATAAAGTCCATTGTCCTAATTGTAATTAACATTATCATACCATATTTACTATATGATTTGATACAAATGTTTTATATTTTCAGAAGATTAAAAACAAATTCAAGCTCAAATTTTGCCACATGTATTTATAACATTAAAATATTTAGATTATATGCTAAATATATAATTGCTATTCATCAATAATATGTTTGTTCCATTTTTCGAATTAAAATCAATGGTAAAGCTTCTTTTTGCCTTTTCAACTTTTTCAGTCCTCTTGGCGGACCTCGCTTTTTTTTTTGATTATCAAAAATGCATTCCTTGTCATGTTTTTGGCATTGTGTACAGACTGGTTCGCCGGAACATTTTGCTTTTATTTTCCGACACAAGTTGCACGCTACCGTTACCCTTTGCCTATTTTTTGGCATTTGAGTATAATAGTTAAGAGTGAGAAAGTATTGATAGTATTAGAAAAAAATGTAAAAAATAATGTTTAAAATAATAAATTGATTGTTTGATTTTTTTTTTTCCCCTAACTGCTAAATTGCGATATTTTTATATTTCGCATTCATTATTTTTTCATTTAAATGTTAAATTTGATACATTCTATGATTCAAAATGTAACATGTAAACAATTGACGAAAAAATAAGATTTTTGATCATTACTACAAATTTGAAAAAAATTCAATCGGAAAAAATGTTTTTCCCAAGTTGTGCATCTTATAAATACCAAAGTCTAATAATTCATTCAGATAAATAAGGTAATATTTTTTATTTAGTGCTTAGAAAATGACCAAATTGAGAAAAAATGGAATGTTCAAATGATCTGAAATAATTGGACCCCACAAACTTTGTGACAAATAAGAGTTTCAGCTGATCAAATTTAAATTTAATTTGTAACCAACCAGAATACACCATTTAGCAATCTTTACTATATTTGAATTCTTGATAGGGTATGATTTGAAAATTAACACAGATAATTATGTAAACAAATTATTTTAGGCTTTTCATGTAATTGATGCTATTTTTGACTAACAAAAAAATTCACTAAATCGTTTCACAATAGAAAAATCTCGTTAAATAACATGTCGAGCTGTGATCATGTTCTTTATCATTAATTAGTGATGTAAATTCCCATTTTTCTTTATTGAAGACTTTTAGTGCATCAACTAATGAGCAATCATGTGCGCGATATTCGTTCAAGGATAAAGAATTTTAAATTTAAATTGATTAAATTAAATGGTTCAAAAAAAAAGGAGCGAATTTTTTTTTTAATTTTGCTAATTATAGTAACCATATGATGTAAAATAAAATATAATGTTTCAAAATTTTATTAACATATTTATTTAAAGATTTTTTTTATTAAAGTATTGAAAAATAACTTGGTTATTTTACTTATTCACCTATTCAATAAATGCGTTTATTATCTTTTACGTAAATTCTCGCTAGAGCTTGCACATGCATTCAGCAAATCATTAATACAAGCCGAGTAACCGTTTTTTTGGTTTGCATGATTACCGCTTTATCCTATTGTGAAAGGGACATTATGATTCTCTCAAAATAATTCGTTGTTTTGGGCTATGCTTAAATGGAAACTTCCAAATTGGCCATCATGATTGTTAAGAAGTACAAAGATATATGAACATAAATCATCATGATGCCATTGTTAATGATAGATGATATGATAAATAATCGTGTATTGATAAAATGAAAAATTTGGTATGGCTATAAAAATTATAAAGTGGTATAGTTTATTGGTTTAAGACTTTGATTTTTTTCATTTATAATGATTTATTAAAAACATAATAAACATAATAATATTTTTCAAACGATATACTTAAATTAATACTTACCCTATAAAAAATATTTCAGAAAAATGATCCCGTGTCTGGTTTCTTCTAGAAAAATGTTCATTTATCGGAGTTTTTTCCAGAATTTTTTTATAGGATTAGTTGAAGTCATAATTAGCAAGTTATTAAGACAAATGATTTATTGGAACAAGAGCTTTGCATAATCGATTTAGACCTATTTCCGTTTTTTCCGTTTGAAATAAAATTAATCAACTCGTACAAAAATAAAAACAATATTGTTACCATAATTTATCGGCCGTAATTATTCCAATTTTATTAAATTTTTATTGGTTGAACAATCTAATATCCGTTCTATCCCGATTTTCATTGTTTCTTATTTCAGACATGAAGTTTCAAAAAATTGAAACATACTTATATCATTATTTGAAAATTATCAAACAAATATTTGTTGAAGGTTTCGAAATTTGTTAAACAAAAAAAATATTTCTATTCTTTTTTTTGTTTCATTTTAATGTTTTGGATCATGTTGCATCAAGGATTTTTTAAACAATGACTTTTAGTGTTATACAAATGAATGCTCAATGACCCCCATCTTGTTGTACAATAAATACACTAATTTGAGCAGTCTCTTGATAAAATAAGTTGTTTTGCTGTACATTTACAGGGCCAGCGCTTAAATGGCAATAAGAATTCCTAAAAGCACTTTCCGTAGATTATTTATTTTATTATCATTCAAAAATAAAAATAGTTTGAACCTTTTTCCGATATACCAATTTACCGTATAATCCGTATATGATCAATCTCATATACTTTATGACGACGATTTTATTATTTCTTATTTTAGACGTAATACATATTTATGATACGTAATTTCATTTATCCCAATTTATACATAGTAATTGTTTTGAAATGTCTTTTTTTATAATTTGATTTTCGAACCAATAAAATTACATGATACCGCTATCAATATCTAGTCACGGCCGAAGACTTCTTCAAACTCGTATACATGGCAAAATTCCCCAATATACCCCAATATACCCTAATATGGATGTCGACCTTACAATCCTTACATATTACAATGAATGTTCTAATAATAATTGAATAATGTGAAATTGTTTTTTATTTAATTACACACGAACGCATTATTATATTTTCCTATCGGTAAATAATTCCGAACGTAGATTTTATAGCTCGCATAATTGAAAAATTATGAAATTTAGTATAAGCCCTTTATTCTTATTTAGTCACCAAAAAATTAAAATTTGTTTATTATATATGATTAACAAAATAAAAATTTTGATTTATGTTATGTAATAATTTAATGTCGTGTCAAAAGAAAATTCTATCCCATTTTTCGAAACAAATTATGAAATCAATCCCATTTTTTGAAACAAATTATGGATTGAATATGTGAGATTCTTCTCGTTATAAAATCTCCTCGTTATAAATCTTCTCGTTATAAAATCTTTTTATCAATCGTTTTTTTTTCCGATAAATCAAAATGGTTAATTACAATAGTGATATTCTTTTATATATACTTGAAGAACTTCAATATGATTCAATGGCTTTATTTTCGTGTTTATTAATAAATAGATTTTGTTGTGAAATGGCAATTTCTATTTTATGGAGAAACCCCTGGTAGTACAAAATTGATTATAGTAATAAAAATTCTTTACTCAACATTATCTGTTCCTATTACCTCAAGATATTAAAATGTTATTACCAAGTCACTTATTACCTTCACGTTCGTTTGATTATATGTCATTTTGCAAGAGCATTAATATAGAAATTATAAAAGATATAACTTTTATGATTAAGTCTTCTTTACTAACACAAAAAATTCGCGATCTCTTAATAAATAAATGTACAAAGTTGAATTATTTAAATATGATATCAATCGATCCCAAAATATCCCTATTCCGTCTTCCAGAAAATAGAACTCTTCTTGAATCACTTTACGAATTAACTTGTGGCACATCTACTTGTCCTTCATTCTTTCGTGATTTAGCACTCGTCATTCAAAATATACAGAGATTGATCATTATCAATGAAAATAATGAAATTAATAGAAGGATAATTGAACTTATTAATGTTCAAAAAAATTTAAGATATTTTGAATGGAAAGACGATTTTGAAGATGAATATAATATTGAATACGACCTTTATGACGAGATGTTGGTCGCATTGCAACAAAGATCAGAAACGATCTTCCACTTATTAATATTATATTTTCAATTTTTTAATTGTGAAGAATGTCATGAACATAAACTATTTGACATTCTTCCAAAATTTCTAAAATTAAAAACATTAACACTAAACAAATACTACTTAGAAAGTGAAAGAGTATTGCCGATATATTATAATAACCTGAAATACTCCATATAGACGATATTGCTATTAATGTGGCGATTAATATAGTCACTAATAGCGGTGGTAATATCAGGGAGATATTGTCAAATTATAAAGGTTATTATAATAATAATGATGATGATGAAAACTCCACCAAAAATACTCTGCTATTAATAAGTAGCATAATAAAAAAATGCCCACTTATTGAGGCATTATCGCTCATTTTTCCTCAACAGAATTACATTTTGTTGAGTTTGAAACATTACTAAGTAGTTGTCAAAATTCGAAGAAATTAGTTTTAATTTTAATTATTGATGACGATTGTAATGAAAATTATGAGCGAGGTTTAGAAAATGCGAAAGAATTATTAGAAATATTAAATAGATCAGCTAGATATTAAAGTTTATAATAATTCTAAACCATATTTAGAAATTTTGGAACCAAATAATATTCGTCTTGGCGACCCTGAAGATTTACATTATTAAATGTTGCTGTTAGTTATAGTGGGGTAAAGTTCGGTCCTTTATAATAATTATTTTTTATTTATATATAAAATAATCTTTTTAATTTATTAAAATATTTTATTTTTTATTATTATGTTTTCCAATATGTATTAAAATAAAATAATAATTCAATCTAAATATCGTTAAAATTTTGAAATCGGTTAACATATAATCAGATAAATTAATATGAGTAATTATTCTACAGCCAAATAGGATCATGCTTTTTTCATTTTTTATTAAGCATATAAATAAACTACCATTGCATAATTATTATTGACATTTTTGACGTTGTTTAATCAATAATTTTTTTATTTATAAGATGATCATAGGATTAATAAATGTGGCACATTAAACCAACATAAATTTTTTTAACTTGGCGGCCTTCTTTGCTACCACGCCACTTAATTATGGGTATAGTCATTATTGTTGTCGCCATCACCACCATCGTTATCGTTATCATTATCATTATCATTATCATCATCATATTTATAATTACCACCATTATTTTCATCAAAATATAAACTTTACAAGGACTGCTGAAGCTAAATATGGATTTTCTTCACGAATATAGCCTTTTTTTCTTATATATTATAGCCAAAAGCAATAATAAATTGCACTTTAATATAAATTATTTTGCTTATACATAATATTTAATTTTTAAAAATATTACTATTTTTTTTATTAGCTTTATATTTTACACAACTGCAAATATTATAACCTTTACCTAAACAATAGCTACAAGTTATATATACTGTAACTGAAGATTAAATAGTAGTATTATCTTCTATTGATAATTTAAATCATTTTGATTATTCTTTTAGCTTATAGTATTTTGGATTAGATACTTTAGTAAGATTATATCTAGAATTCAAATCAGTTAAAAGTTACTAGTAATTATTATTACTTGATCCAGTTTTAGTACTGGTAGCTTCATTCAATACCTAATCCAATAATATTGCAATATTTTATATTAAATTTTATAAGAAGTTCCATTAGCTCTGCTATAATATTTTTAGCTATTGCAATTTAAATACTTGTCTTTACCATTGATATTATAGTATCAAATAGAACTTTTTTGTTAACAAATTAGTGTATAAACACATTATTTTTAATCCATATAATATAATGGC